AGGACATCCTGGGATTTTCAACGACCGGGGGCATCGGTTTAGCATCTTGTTCAAAAGATGGTGTTCACTGAGCAGTATAGAATCCCCGTAACTATACTGGGGCATTAGGACCCACACAAACAACAGGTTGGGCACATCTTAATACAATACTTACTTATCTCAATTTCTAAATATGTTTGGTAACTAAAATATTAATTTAATAAATATATCTGTTTAAATAATCTGTTTTGTTTAAATGCACCAAAATACATTCCCTATAGTCAGTGCTTAATTTGTGAATTGCAAAGTCCTGGAACAGATCGGGGTAACAAATTTGGAATGTTACCCGAAGATGTAAGGTGTCGCGCACAAAAGTGAGGAGTGGGGGTGTCGCGGATGACAGCGAAGAGGGTTGGGGAGTTGCAGAAGAAAGCGAAAGTGAACAGCGGATGGGGCAGAAGGGCGGTTTAGGAGGGGGACCGGTTAAATGAGGTGCCGGATCAGATCTCAGAGGTATCGGATCCAGATCCTGTTCCGGCACAAATTAAGCCCTGTCTATATTCACAGAGAAACTGATAAAAATATTCACTTTCAAAATGGGCTGTACTCTGCTGAGCACTGTATATATATTTATATGTGACCCTGTTGCATGAGTACATTTTTTTGGCAACGTATAAAACTTATTGTATAGGTCAAAATTAGAAATTACACATCACAAAAAGATACAAAATAATGGACAACAACAACATGTAACAGTAAGCAAATACACTGAGGAGTATTTTGACCAAAATAACAAAAACCCAATCTTACACACAGAAAATACAGGCCTTCTGGTGCTGACCAGAACTCGTATCCAGTACGAATCTGGAGTTTGGGGGTGGGAATTCAGAATCAGAAAGAAAAGGATCAAGCTAAAGAATTTGGACATGTTTGCGAAGGGGTTCCCACAGTTTCATGAAAAAAGAGCTAGATTGGTGAAGTGCTAATTTTCTCTAATTTCATAAAATAGGGTTTTTATTTTATGCCAAAAATCACTTGAATATTAAGAAAAGTTCATGTTTCATGAATATATATTATACATTTTCAACTGTAAAATATCCTAACTCAATTTTTGATTAGTAATGCAGGCTAAAACCTTCATTTAGACAACTTTAAAATGTCTCAATGTTTTGAACCCTCCAATATCATATTTCCAAATAGTCGTATTTAGTTTATCTTAACATACTATATAGCAATGGAAAGCTTATTTATTCAGCTTTCAAATGATTTATAAACCTTAATTAAAAAAGAAAAACTAAACAAATTGACACTTATGAATAGTTTTGAGGTTCAGAGTCACATGAAGTGGGGGAAATATGTATTCAACACGTCACCATTTTTCTAAGAAAACATATTTCTAAAGGTGATGTGACTTAAAAATTTCACCAGGTGTTGATAACATCCAATGAAATACATATGAAAAGAAAATAAAACTAATTAGTTAACAAATGAAGTTATGTGTAATAAAATGAAATGACAAGGGAATAGTATTGAACACTTGAAGAAAGGAAGGTGTAGAAAGGCAGTGAAAGCCCAGACAGCAGCTGAAATCTCTCAAAAGTTATTCAGTAACCCTCTGTCCTTCGTCATTGTAAATTAATATCAGCTGCTTCAGTCCAACATCTACATTATCAGGATGATGAAGATGAAACCGGGGTGGACATTTCAACAAGAAAATAATCCAAAACACAGCCAAGGAAACTCTCAAAGGGCTTAAAAAATAAAACAAAGCTGTGGAATGGCCTAGTCAATCAACTGACTTGAATTCAATAGAAAATACAAAAATAAAGATCAGTATAGATAGACAAAACCCACAGAACCATCAAGATTTTTAAACTCTGAGCAATATATGTGACTTGATTCTACATGAGAGTTGTCTTTAGGCTGTGTATAGTATTATAAACTACATTGCTACATTATCATGATACAGATGGCCACAGATATTGCTTATTTTATTCATTTATTACTTTAAAAAACTGTCATGAACAAAATATACCATAAATGTGGCCATCGATGTGACCTAAATCAATTATTAACATATTAAATAAATGATGACAGCTGGCATAAACTGTACATTCGCAAACAGCTATGCATTCTTGAACAATGCGACAGCACGTTCAAATTGGTGTCATGTGTAAATGAATTTCTGTGAAGTGAAAGTGTTTTGGACTCCCGTCTCCTGTTGATTAAAATTCTTCCATTGCGTGCTGAGCCCTGCATGATTGAACTAATAAAACCAGAGAGCTGCTAATGTGAGAGTGAGAGGGAGACGGAGAGACAGACAGGGGAGGACGCGACATCCTGCTGCTCAATCACGCTCTGTGAGAGGCGTCATGGAGGGAAGCGGATGGAGACGAGACCACAGAGGGAAAGGAGAGGCAGAAAGGAGCTAATGGAGACTCAGATGCGGAGGTGCCTTCAGGGATGAACTATGACCTGGCGGACCCCTGACAGACTGCCTTCTGTCTATGTTGTACAGTTGAAGTCAGAATTATTAGCCCTCCGCTATATTTTTTCCCTAATTTCTGTTTAATGGAAGGAAGTTTTTTTTTAAACACATTTTTAAACATAATAGTTTTAATAACTCATTTATTTTATTTTTGCCATGATGACACTATCTATTATACTAGATAGTTTTGAAGATGCTAGTATTTAGCTTAAAGTGCAATTTAAAGGCTAAACTAGATTAATTGGCAAAATAATGTATAACAGTGGTTTGTTCTGTAGACAATCGAAAAAGAAGGCTCAAGAGGGCTAATTAAGTTGACTTTAAAAAAGTTTTTAAAAAAATTCAAAACTGCTATTATTGTAGTCGAAATAAAACAAATAAGACTTTCTCCAGAAGAAAAAATATTATAGAAAATATTGTGAAAAAGTCATTGCTTTGTTATAAACATAATTTGGAAAATATTGGATAAAGCGGGGAAAAAAAAAAAAAAATCACAGGAGGGCTAATAATTTTGACTTCAACTTTATACAGTAGGTATGGACCCACTGATGGAGAGAGCCTGTGGACGATTCATTGTTGTTTAACAACAACTGCCCCACCAAGAAAAAAAAGGATTGCATTTCTTAACTCCTAATATCTCTAGTTAGCACACTCAATGCACTTTTTTCAACACATCCCGTAATTTCTAAAATATCAACCTCTACCAAATGGTTGATATAAAAGTACCGGAATTGAAATATATACTATGAAAAGACCAATAAATGAAATATATATTACAACAAAACATTTTGAAAATCATCATTTACTAAATCATCTTTATTTTTTAAGTATGCCATAAAAAATATTTCAGAATTTCATTTAAAATGCTTTCTTGTTTTTATTTTTTATTTTTATTTTTTTTACAATAAAACATATATCAAGTGTAGTAGTGCAACAGGATTATCTGTTTTTTTTTTTTTTTTTTTTTCGTAAACCAATAATGCTGTGTGTGTAAACCAATATTTAAAACAGTCATTCTTTAAATTACTTTAACAGTCATTGTTTAATACAGTCAAAACATGGGCAACCATTTGGTAGAGTGGAGTTCATTTTTGTGTGTATTTGGGTGGATTTTTTTAGGAGCTATTAGACAGACATTAAGATTCTGTCATCATTTATTTACCCTATTTTCTTTCAAACATGTAAGACGCTTTTTTTATCCATAACACAAACCCCGACCCTGGACTAAATAAACAACTTGTCATTTTGTGTCAAATGTTACTCTTTATTTTTTTTTTTAAGAAATTGAGATTCATACACCACATGAAAGCTGAATAAATAAGCTTTCTAATGTTGTATGGTTTGTTAGGATGGACAATAAATGGCTGAAACACAACTATCTGAAGTTCTGAAATTGGAGGGTTAAAAACAAATACAATACTGAGAAAATATACTTTGAAGTCAATTACACATTTTTTTAAGCAAAGCATATCAAAATATTTTCTTGAAACAAACTTTGCTTATTATTGCAAATTAAATTATTAGGATTTTTTCAATGTACAACATTTTAAAGGTTGCAGATGTTTCCTTTTAACTTTTACCATTATATACCATATTTACTGTATATAAAGGTTCAACTTAAAAGAAAATAAATTATTATTTGGTTTATTATTATTATTATTATTATTATTATTATTATTATTATTATTATTATTATTTATTTATTTATTAACCATACTCTAGTAAAGTATTCTATACTGTACAAATTATTTACACCACATTGTCAATTAATGTCGCAGCTGTTGCAATGCTGTGTTGTAGAATAACATACCCTAAAGTAAATGATAGTATTGGGTAATTTGTTTATATTACACCATGGTTGTTTTATTACCATACTATAGCAACTTTAAAATTACCACAACAGATTAATTCAAGTGCTTTACTATAATACGATTAAAATTGATTCACTATAACATTTGCAATAAATAACTAAAACATTTTTTTATATGTAAAAATTCTGACGGTTTTACTTTAAAAATATTTCTGAATGGCAATAGTATTATTTGAACTTTTTGAACAACTATTTGGAAAAAAAATAAAACCATTAAAAAAATCAGAGTGGCTATTTTCACTGAATGCTATTTATAAAAAGCTATTTATGCAGCACAACTGGATGTGTTCTACCTGTGTTATTTACAAACACACAATATTGCACTGTATACGCAACTTAAAACTGATATTTCAAGTGCGTTTCTAATCCCCACTGCTGCCATACACTACCCATTCACATTTTTGGGCATGTGACCGACTGATTTTTGAGCGAAATTACTTTATATTATAAGTTTGATATCTTGCATCCTAATTCCTTTTAGATTTTCGCTTTGCTTTCCCTGGTGAACAAACAGCATATGCTGGTGAGGTAGGTGTTGATGCTGGTTTGCTGGTCTCAATGTAGCTCATATGCTCCAGCAGATACGCATTCCAGCTTTTTGGTGCTTCCAAATGATAACTGAACCTTATTTAAAACAACACTGTCCACACTGCATACACTTACCTTTAAGAACTTGTACAGAAGAAAAGTGAACCAGTTGGTAAGCATCTTCTCTGCAACAGACTCAGTCCTAAAAGAGCGGGAAGAAAAGAGAGGTAGAAAGAAAATAAGAATTCAAGTTCACACAATACAAATTTAACCCAAAAAGCCTTCTTGAAGGAAAAAAGATTCCTTCTAATGTGGCGCTTGGGCAAAAACTCCTACTTTTTTTCCAAAACAAACCACCAATCTTCATTAAGACCAGACAATTACAGTAATTGGGCGACATCGTCCATTAATGGCCAACCTGTCGCCAGCCGAAGACCCCCAAAAGCTTCCCCCAGAACAGAAGTAATTAAAGCATGCTGTAATTAATGGACTTCAATGCTCCTAATTCATCTGTAGCTGGCAAACGCGAGCGAGTGCTAGCGCAGTCGGCTAACTGTGGCTCCTTCCTCCCTCAGGCCCACCAGGAGCCTTTTCTGCCGTTCAATAATGCATTCACACTGACTTACCCACTCCCATTACTTCCTTACATAAGGGCCTATTATTAAATTATATGCTCATTAATAAAACGGAGAAGGAGAGATAAGGTGAATGGAATGGGACAACAGGTATTTCATGAGGGGGTGGAAGTGTCCTGAAAAGCTCATTAGCGCACTCCGGTAAAGTTGGCCAGATCAGGGCTTAGAGTCGTATGAGATGGAGAATATTGACTTCGGTGAACTTTGGAGTGCTAGAGAGAAATTTTTCAGCTGTTTTTTTTTTTTTCAGGCTGGAGGGATTTTATAATATTGGCTAAGGTTTCTTGTGCTAATGTCATGATTTAGGCTATGTATGTTTTAGTTTAAAATGAGGTTTTTAGATGGCGTACTCATTTCAAAACCCTCCCCATCAACGTTAGCGGTTTGTAACATTTTTAAAAAGCTTCTCGTCAACTTCGAACTATTACTCCATGGTCTGTTGAAATACTTGATTCTGATTGGCTGGAAGATGTGCATTATTTTTTTTGAAACACACAGGTAGTTCCACTCATTTTTGATCACAGTTCGAAATAAATGTGGTTCTCCCAAACGTTTATAATTACCATAGCAAATCGCATGTGCTGCATTGGAAACCGATGAGGACTGTAAATGGCGGATGGAAATCCAGGAAATTAAGACAATACTTAAAAATTATGCCACAAATTCAAGTTTTAAGGGTATTTCAAGAGAAATTATAGTTATTTTAAAGTCAAACCGGCAGTTTATGTACAAGGATAGCGCATGTTAAAAAATGTTGGAATCTTCAGGCGGTCAGAGGCAGCTCCGAGAATGGCTTCCCACACGAGCAAAGCTTTATTTCAGCCAGACTATCTCAGGACCTGCCGCTGGATCTAATCTCTTGCATCTCTGTTGTTGTAAAACGTGATATATAATTAATCATTGTGTCTCTAGCAGTCAGTCTTTAGACTTTTTAACCTATTATTTGTTTCATAATGGCGACAAGGGGTTTCACACTGTATGACTTTACAATAGGAAGAATTGCCGACAACTTTGTCCAAACTCTTTCTCACAACCAAAAACATGTAGTAAATCTTTTTTTTATTAAATACATAATGGGTAAGAAGCCTGTAATGGGGTAGAAAATTTTCATATTTGCTCACCTGGGTTTGAAGGGAATTAGCAATTTCTCCTTAAATTTCTTTTTTGACCCAGTTGTGATATTGCTTACATGACACGTCAGACAAACACAGGTGCTCCTCACAAATTTCCAGTAGTTTTTCCTCCAGTTCTCGGGTCCAAATAAACTAAAAATGAGCGCTTTTAACTTCTCCCCCAACCTCCCGCTGGCCTGCAGGTACCCACTCTAGAGGATGCTGCTCTCTCATTGGCTGTAGGCGATCGCCGATGTTATGTTTAGTCAAAACTCATTTCACACGACATGATTTGAATCACTGACAGCTCCAGATATTTAGAATGCCAAATATCTCATGGGTGTCGAAGACTCATCGGCGATTCTCTCAGATCACGTCTTTGATACAGTAGTTCACATTGTGTGATTGTTACTCACGTGAACAAGCATCAATTTGCCTGTGATTTCAGCCATTTGTCCCCTATTTCTCAAAACCTCTCATTGAGTTAAAATCGGCTAAAATCATGCAGTCTGAACTCAACATAAATGTGCTTGTTGTATGTGCGTACATGAGATTGTAATTTCAGCAGTTAAAATTCGTGAAAGCTTATAAAACATCACTCAAATCAAGATATACTGCCAGTAGACACTTTTCTGGTACCTTTAAGGCCTCAATATAATTTGCAATTACGAAGAACAAAAAAAATTATGCCATTTAAAATGCAATCCTGCCAAAATGAAGTGTGTTTTGAGTTTGAAACTAAAAGCTAACTTTTTGAGGGAGTTCATTTTGGCTCCTTGACACCTTTAAGCTACCATTGACTCATGGTGATGACACAATCGGTGGGCGTTTTCTGGAACTTGTTTTTTTTTTTGACATGCGATTCATTCATATCTCACTCATATCCACAGAGGTCAGACAGGAGAACAACATCCAAAGCAACAACAGCAAAGTTACCCACATGAACACACTAAAGTAGTGCTGCATGATACTGGAAATATCTTATGTTGTTGAGTCATACATGTTGGTCATACATGCTTTTATCACTTCCCGCCTAGACTATTGCAATTCCTTATACGTTGGTCTCCCTCAATCCTCATTGGCACGGTTGCAGTTGGTTCAAAATGCGGCAGCTAGACTTTTAACAGGCACCAAAAAACATGTTCATATCTCGCCAGTTTTAGCATCCCTTCATTGGCTTCCTGTTAATTTTAGAATTCAGTTCAAGATTTTACTTATTGTTTTTAAAGCACTGAATGGGCAAGCACCTTATTATATATCAGAACTTATTAACTTACAGTCAACTCCTCGGTCTCTTAGGTCCTAAAATTAAATTTTACTGCAAATACCTCGGTCACGACTTAAACTGAAAGGAGATAGAGCCTTTGCTGTCGCTGCTCCACGTTTGTGGCACCAGCTGCCACCGGATATTACGAGTGCTTCTTCTCTCTCTATTTTTAAGTCTAGACTTAGGACACATTTTTATTCTATTGCATTCCCAGGTTTTTAATCTTTATTGTGGTTGTTACTGTAATACTTTTGTTCTTATTATTACTTTTATTGTTATTTTTACTCTTTTAGAGTGTGTGCTATGGTTTTGTTCAGCACTTTGGTCAGTGCCAAACTGAAGTAAATGTGCTTCATAAATAAACTTTACTTACTTACTTACTTACTTTACTGTGGTAATGATATTCCTTAAATATAACTTTTCTGTAGAAACATGCTAAAACTGGTGCAAGTGTTGGTTTAGGTGCCAGAGAGATTAAATAATGTGCTTTTTACATGTGGTTTTTCAAGCCCACTCACCTGTGTGAGGCACACTCAGTTTAGGTTGTCGTGTGGGGAGGTAGGGGGAGTAGAGGGGATAATATTGCATATACTATAATCATGATAACGATATTTTTGCGATATATTGTGCAGCCCTACTTACTATATAGTATTGTGCAGGAAAGCTGAGTAGCAGAGCTGGTACAGATGTATCCACACATGGATGACAACACGGTGGACAGATTTAAAGACTCAAAGGGGGTCACATTTCAGATGAGAAGAGCCACCGCATTACTTTATGACTTTTCTAACATTGTTCCATGTGGTGTCTATCCTTGATCAATGTACTGTTCTCTTTATATATATGCTTTCTTGCGTGTGCTCCTTTTAATTGTGTATTGACACAAACTTAGTAGCCATTGAACCGAGTTTGGCTGGCTGTTTATTTATATCACACACAAGAAACCATACATATAAAGGGAACAGTACAGTAAAAAGAAAATGCTTTCGGCAGGATTTAGAGGAGGACAGAAACTCTTCACGTGCTCACTGCCCGTCTATAGGCCTTTTTCACACTTCCTGGTTCCGGTAAGCGAAGCAGTGTACCACAACATCCGGTTTCAATGCGACGGAGCAAGAAAGAATGGCAGGGTCATCTCAGCGCTGTGATTGCTGCGTTCCCAGCTGCTCCAACTCAAAAACGACAATCTTACTTTAATGACCACGATCTCCCGAAAGACGAAGGACAGGGAAAATCATGGATGACAATATTAAAGGGGGTTGAATGCCGTTTCAAGTTATATGCGGGAGTACAATCTTATGCTGTATACACTTCAAAGCGGAGATTATTATGTTTCATTAAAGACTGGTGGTCTATGGTTTATTTTGACGAGTAATTATAATATAGACAAAACTCCAGTTAAGCTATCTGCCTTCCACAAACAAGTGCTCATCATGGTCATTAATCTATAAGCATGATTTATCCCTACATTGTTGTTATTTTGGAATAATAGACAGTTCATACAAATGCAAATCTCTTTTTTTAATTGGTTTGACAGCAAAATTATTTGTTTAGTCAGTTATATAATAAAGATAGTATACTTTAATGTGTTATTTAATGTGTTAATGTTTAAAATGTTATTTGCTGTTCTTTAAATAAATAATAAAAATGAATATTATCCACGAGTAGGAGCTAACGTGTTTCCAGACTTGAGAAAACCTCACGAGCATTAAACAACCTGTAATGTATTGCCCGATAGCAACTCGCCTGTACAGCTACCTCGCCATTCACTATATCAGACTAAAAAGGAAGGAGGGGGTTAGCACAGTTTACAGACGGGACTACTGACATAAAACTCATCCTGCTGGATGTTAAAGAGCCAGGGTAATCTAGTTTACGAATGGCTTGAATGAGCAGATTTTATGCTGTTGGCTGTGCACCTTCCTGGAACCTGACATGGCAAACGCTGTGTAAGACACGTTTTCTGCACAAACTCTGCAAATCGTTATCATCTTTTAAATGCTGTTTTATTAAGGCAGTTTTACACATTCACCGAACAACATCTTCCTGTCCAAATTATGGCAAAGTTGACCGTGAGAAAGTCATCCGCTGTCCCGAGGCTGTAATGTCTCTGCGACTCCTAGCGAACCCGGAAATATCGATACACTGCTTCGAAGGGCGCTTCCGGTGTTCAATTCCGCTGTGAAAAAGGTCTATTGCTTTCAGTTCTCTAAAGCACGGAACTGCCGGAAATGCGCCAAAATTAGAGTCCTGTGGAAATGCGCCAAAATAAAAGTCATGGCATAAATTTTTGTAAACAATAGCGAAAAGAAAACGAAATGTAAACTAGACTAATAATGCATTATGAAAAAAATAATATGGTTTTATTCAAATGTCCAACATGAACGGCACACTCTTTACACTCTTTAACAGAGGCAGAACAATCAATATTGTATTCATTTGTCATTCAAACTGCACTAAAGTTCTACTGGAAGTGGACTCAGACTAAGGTTTGGATAGCAGCATTCACGTCTAATGAAATTATTACTTAGAGAAATTGCACTAGAGTTTGTTTTAAGCAAACCAAACCTGTCAAATGTGAACACAGCCTCAAGTAGACAGGATTTGGTATCCTCATGTACCCAGTTGCATTCCTACCTCCATATGCTGAGCCAGTATTTTGCAGCTATCTGACTCTTTTAAACATGCAGTTTATGCCACTGTGCCTTTATAAGCTCTAAAGCTCTCTGTTTTGATTGGCTGCCCGTGTGTATGTTTCAGTGTGACTGTGTTATTAATTGTCTCGCACCTCCTGAGCAGCAGTTTGGGGTGGTTCTTGCTCTCCAGGTTCTTGTCGATGAGGTCAGAGAGCAGCTGTTTGAGGACTCCTGTGGCGTACTCCATCTCTCCCTGTAGAGCTGTCATGATGAGCGATGCCACGTTGCCACGGTCACGCATGGAGAAGGAGCGTTGAGCTTCAAGCGTGCGGATAAATGTCAGCAGGAAGTGCTTCTTGGTGAGGAGTTGACCAAATAGAGTCAAGGCCTTCTCGACATTAGCCTGCACCTGTGGAAACACACATGGAGCATTACATTAGACAGCGCAGAATACGATGTGACAGATTTGATGTGTTTTGATGAGCAGACTCAAAAGAATCAATTTAAAATAAGACACTGAACAATTTAATTAATTTTAATTTAAAAATCCTTTAGAGACCCACAATACTGTGCTCTTAAAAAGATTCCGAAGGGGAGGTTTTGCAATGATTTCATAAAAGAACCACCATTAAACCCCAAAGAACCTTCAAGTGAAAACCAATTTTAATAATTTGTTCATTTTCCTTCAGCTTAGTCCCTTATTTATCAGGGCTCGCCACAGTAGAATGAAGTGCCAACTATTCCGGCATATGTTTTACGCAGTACATGCCCTTCCAGCCACAACCCAGTATTAGGAAACACCCATACACTCTCACAAATACACACACTCATGCACTACGGCCAATTTAGTTTCTTCAATTCACCTATAGCGCAAGTCTTTTGACTGTGGGGGAAACCGGAGCACCCGAAGGAAACCCATGCCAACACGGGGACAACATGTAAACTCCATAGAAAGGCCACCTGGTCCAGCCAGGACTCGAACCAGTACCAGCAACCTACTTGCAGTGAGGGGACAGTGCTAAACACTGAGTCACCGTGTCACCCATGACTTAGTGCATGGTGTTTATTTCCCTCTACAATCATATAAAAAGTTGTCAAATGTATTATGTTCAGGGCGGAGATTACTTATGATTTGTAATCAGCACTCATTACACTGAGCCACCTTGCCACAATTTAATAATTTAAACAATTTTAAAAATTCAAACAATTTTAACTACTTTAACACATTTGTATTGTAGGGATGGGAAGATTAACCGATATGTATCGATACGTGGTCATGCGCGTGCACGATGCGAGTGCATCGGTTGAGCAGCAGAGGATGAATGAAATTTTGGAAGCAAATCGAGATGCAGCGGTTTTTGCGAGATGCATCGATTTTTCCGAGATACAGCTTATATTTTTAATATAGAATGTATTTTTTATTTATTAACAAGTGTTGTCAACCTGTTTTTGGTGCATAATTTAATCGCCCTACATAAAGTAAGCCTTAGCAACGGATTTGCGGATGTACACACACTACAACTCAGTGTATCAGGTGTGCGGATGAAGATAGTGGTGCGCCCTCAGAAAGCGCGAGAAGCAAAACAAACATTTTATTCCCCACTGAGTTTTAAATCTAAAGTATGGCAAGCAACATTATGGATTTAAGGATGGACGACATGACAGGACAGATGCAATTTGCAAAATGTGCCGCGCATCTGTAAAATACGCGGGCAGTACGACTAATCTGAAATCTCACTTGAAGCGGCGCCACGGTGTTGTTGTGAAAGCATCTTCCAATGTTTCTGCATCCCCGGCTTTCGCACTGCTTCAACCAGCTCCAAAAGTGGTGAGAAAAGCATTGCAAGTTTTTTTTTCCATGCGCAACAGTTCTGCTCGCTCTACGCCAATAACGAATGCTATTGCATTGTTCATCTGCAAAAATATTCAGCCTAGTGTCACGGAGAACGAAGGTTTTAAACACCTCCTCCTGTTAATTTTTATTTAATTATAATAATATTAATAATAATAATGATAAAAATAATTGGGTGTCACGGTGGCACAGTGGGTAGTTTGACCACCTCACAGCAAGAAGATTGCTGGTTTGTTATATTTTTATTAGCCTGTTGTTTACAGTGACAGTGATGTTTCAAAGCAGCATAACACTGCTAGTTCACAACCTTAAGTTTTGAATAATCAGTGGCAATATATCTTTGTAAAACTTGTTTTCATAGTTGAAAAGTTAAATCACAATTCTTGTTGTGCAATGGTAAACCTTTATGTTGAAAGAGTGCAAATATATATATATATATTTTTAATATATATTGCACTTATACATTCTGTTTATCTTGAAAATACTTAAATAATATGTGCTATAGGTTCTAAAATGGCCCTCTACTGTAAACTGACACTCTGGCTCTGAGAGAAGAGACAGTTTGTAAAAAAAGTCTTGGTTTTGCTTGGTTAATAAATAATCAAACTCATTCAATGGCACAGCATCCTCTTTCACATCATCTCATAAACTTGATCTAATTAGTTAGTGCTGAAATATCGCATCGTATCGTGATATGGGTGTGAATCGTATCGTGTTGCATCGCAATATGTCACAAATGTATCGCTAATATATCGGATCGTATTCTTTGTATGGAGATGCGTATCGGATCGGCATTATAGCTTAGATGCCCAACCCTATTGTATTGACATATTTAACATGTATCACCTTTATCCAGTGTAAAAAAGTTCCTCATTAAACCATTAATTGCAACAAAGAACTTTATTTTCTAAGAGGGTGGTCTAATTTATGACACAGGAGAACATTAATCTACATGAATTTGTAGACACAAGTTTAGGGTTGATGTTTAAAAACGAAACGAAACAAAACAAAACAAAACAAAACAAAACAAAACAAAACAAAACAAAACAAAACAAAACAAAACAAAACAAAACAAAACAAAACAAAACAAAACAAAACAAAACAAAACAAAACAAAATAATGATTTAATAAAAATAATAAACAAAAATGCTTTTAACAAAATAAGCCTCTTCTGCTCGCCAAGGCTGCATTCATTTGACCAAAAATACAGAAAACATAAGTTTGGGGTTGTTTTAAAAAAAACAAAACAAAACAAAACAAAACAAAACAAAACAAAACAAAACAAAACAAAACAAAACAAAACAAAACAAAACAAAACAAAACAAAGCAAAAAATAAAATAAAATAAAATAAAATAATTTCATAAAAATTCTAAACAAATTTTTTTTTTCAACAAAATAAGCCTTTTCTGTTCGCCAAGGCTGCATTTATTTGATCAAAACTACAAAAAAAAAAAAATTCATAATTTCATAATTCATAAAAAAACAACAAACAAAAACGTTTTTATAAAAGAAGTCTCTTCTGCTCACCAAGGCTGCATTTATTTGATCAAAAATATAAAAAACAAAAGTTTATGGTTGCTTTTAAAAAAATAAAACAAAAAAGTAATAAAATGGAAAAACAAAACAAAAACAAAATTATGATTTAATAAAAAAAATAAACAAAAATGTTTTTAATGAAAGAAGGCTGCATTCATTTGATCAAAAATACAAAAAAAAAAACAATATTGTTGTAAGTGGGTATATTACAATTTAAACTATTAATCTAAATTATATCATATTTGTTAATATGCCATTCATTTCTTTGATGGCAAAAGCTGCATTGCAACAGCAGTTGATCGGCTTAAAACTACCCTTCGTTTTCTACGAGGGACTGTGCAAAAACAAATCCCCACCCACTACTCAATATTCGGTATCAACATAATGAAATAAACGTCTCAGCAACATCTGGTTCACACAAACTTTACATTTCATTAACATAACATATTTCACCATAAAAATAAACAGATTTGATTTTACTGCAGGGAAAGACATGATTGCTAAGATTTATTTTATTACATCAAGTGATCAACTGTGCGGACAAGACTTTGGATGTGACTGGAATTACATACTTCTATAATAAAATTCTATAAAATATGTGAAAAACAGTATGTGAGACAAGTAGTATGTCCGCTTTCAAAGTATTTGGGGAAATAAAAAAATAAAAAAATAAAAAAGGGGGCAAGAAGTACCTTCATGATCTACAACTTCGATTGCACATCCAATGGACACTTCCCTATCCCATAAGGTCATGCAAGAGAATTTATGAATGAGACTAAAGCAGTGCATGTCATGAGATAATGAAAAATGGCGTATGTCTAAATTTCATCCCTTCGCATTCACACTATACACAAAATACATTTCAAATAGTTGTGAAGTACTACTTTATTTATACAGGCTCTCTTTTTACTTTATTTTTTTTTAAAGAAAGTAAATAAGGTCATTTCTGAATTCATCGTTGTTTTAAATGTGTTTGACTGACATATTCTCCCTCTCTGAAATGCAACGTCAAAGCCCTTTAGTAAAGTAAACAGCATTCAGGCATTGGTCCGCATGAGGGCCGTTCAGCTCTCTGATTGACATCAAAGGGAATGTGAGATGTTTGCAGCTCTGAACACAACAGAAGGAGATGCAGAGCGAGGCCGAGGTTGAGCTGAAGAAGGACAGAGAGAAAGAGGACAGCAGGAAAGCAGACGTGACCTCGGCGTCCTGGAGTGAAAGATACTGACGTGTCCTTCCCTGACGCGCAGGACGGCACCTGTCACTTTTTATCTGCCTCGCTCTCTCACATATCTTACCTGTACAGTTTTCTGAAACTGCATGTTTATAGTAACATGACAAAAGCAACACATATTAAACATGTTTTACCCAGTCCTGACAAGCTACTGTGAATGGCTACTGATGACATATTTAAATTAATTTAAATTAAATTAAATTTAATTTAATTAATTCATTTGTTTGCTTATTTTTATT